GAACTTCACAGGCAGGAAGAAAGGTCAGCTGCTACTCCCCACAGTATCATCCACCTGATTGGAGCAGGGGCCCAGGCATCAGAGCCCTGCAGTCAGGCCAGACAGCGGTAGAGATCATCGGGGCGCCTGGTGCAACACCCCAGCGCCATGGGAGGCCAAGGTGAGTGGATCACTTGAGGTCAGGGGTTTGAGACCAGCCTGGGCAATATGGTGAAACCCTGTCTCTACTAAAAATACAAAAAAATTAGCTGGGCGTGATAGAGCTTGCCTTTCCTCCCAGCTACTCGGGAGGCTGAGACAGGAGAATTGCTTGAACCCGGGAGGCGGAGGTTGCAATGAGCCGAGATAGCACCACTGCACTCCAGCCTGGATGACAGAGCGAGACTCTGCCTCAAAAATGAATAAATAAATAAATAAAAAGGTCAGTTATCCTTGAGAGGGTCTAATTGCGAGGAGGCACCAGGGAAGCTTCTGAGGGTTGGAATATTCTACATCCTGCTGCGGTGGTAGCCGAATGGGTCTATGTCCATGTCACCATTTCTCAAGCTACACACAAGATGTGAGCACTTTGTAAGTGCTCAAATTAAAAGAGTACTTTATCATTAAAAGAGAGGGAGGACTCAGGGACAGAGACAGAGAGACAGTCAGAGATAAACAGATATTGAAGACATAGAGGAAACATACACAAAGAGAGACAGAGACAGAAGAGACAGAGGCAGAGAGACAGGAAGAGGCAGAGAGAAGAGGAGGAGGAAAAGCAGAAAGGTAGGGAGAAATGAGGAAACGGGAAGAAAAAGTGAGGCCAAAGAAGAGGGTGGGAGGAGGAGGAGAAAACAGCAAAAGGCCAGAGAAGGGGAGGGAGAGAGCGGCTGGGGAGGCCAGGAAGCCAGGAGCCATCACAGGCAAACATGTCCTTAATGGTAATTACATAGGAACATTTAGTTTGTAGATGCAGCAGAAATGAAAACACTGGGCTTTTGCCCTTTAATGTAATGGCTCTTTAGTCAATCACTCTTCGAAAGGAACCCCCACCCCTCCACCCTGCGTGGGGAGACGGGGGTGGCCTGTGGGGAGCAGATCAGAGGAGATGGTTTTAAACTAATGATGTCCTCAGGGATAGCCAGAGGGACAGTTCTGGAGAGAACAGAACTTTCCCACCAAAACCCCTGGCAGGTGAATTTCCAAGCCCTGCAAACAGCTACCAGCCCAGAAGACAGCAGCTGGCGAGTGGGAGTTCCAATCTGCAAGGCTAGGTTAGGGGAGATTACAATGTATCCAAGGGAGATCAAGGTTCGTTAACTCACCCTAGGGGGTGGGGGAAGCCTTCCTAGAAGGGCTGACATCTAAACTGTGCTTCAATGTATACTTTGAGGCAAGCAAGCAAAAAAGGAAGGAAGAAAAGCCTTCCAAAGAGAGAGAACAGCTTGTGCAAAGGTTGAGAAGGAATTACGCTTACAACCATGAGCGTGACTGGGTAGGAAGTTGGGGAGGGGGGGGCGTGTAGCTGGGGAAGTCAGCAGAGCCCAGACCACTCAGGGCCTTATACGCCACACTGAGGAGAAGGGACTTTGTCCTGAGGGCGATAGGAAGCCTCGGAGGTTCACAACAGGTGGACACTCATATGATATTTTACTTACTGAAGAAGAGAGAGCTTCCTAGTGTGACCTATGCAAAATAAGGTCACACTAACCGCCCAGGGGGACCCTGGGGGAGATTTCAATACCAGGTGGGGCTGACGCTGGGACTGTAGAATCCAGGTTCTCAGACAGGAGGGCAAGATGCTGAGAGAGGTTTCATGTGTTACTAATCTCGCTTGGGGGGTACACTGGCCCTCCGGCTTTGAGACAGTGAGGAGCAGGGGGTGTGGATGACTCAGGAGTACAGGCGCCAGAGTGGGAGGCTTGAGTCAGCGCCTAGTGTATACGGCTCCCAGCCACTCTCAGCTGGAGGTGACTCACTCATTCATTTGGCCTTGAGTGTAGAAGCCTGAGGTGGGGGGAAGGGAAAGACCACCCAGCTATCCCACTACTGTTCACCCCTTCAGCCACTGTGGATCCAGTCCTGTGCAGGAACCGATTCACCTCCCCCGCAACCCAATACTTCTAGAATAAAATCTGTCGGCTCCAAACAGACCTTGGTCTTGTCCTCTCCTCACTCCTCCTATGATTCCAGCCTTGATCTGCCCTGATCATTGCTTATCTAGATGAGCAGGGTCACCTCCATCCTGGTCCCTGGATCCCACCCCTGCACCCCACAGACTCTCCTCCCCACAGCAAGCAGCCAGAGAGCTCCTGAGAACCTCCTGTGACTCAGCGTCCAGCCCTCCTCTACCCACAGCCCTCCATGGCTCCCATGTCCCTTGGGATCAAAGCCCAAGTTGCTAATAAGCTCTAAAAGGCCTTGCACGACCTGCCCCATCCCTCCCCACCTTCTGCTCCCCTCCTCCCTCCCTCCCCCTCCTCACTCTGCTCCAGCCACACAGGCCTCCTCACCCTTCCGCCAGGCTCAGCACTGCCTCGGGACCTTTGCACAGGCTAGTTCCCTCCACCTGGGACTCTTCTCCCAGTTCTTCCCACAGCTTCTTTTTATTCTTCTTAAACATCACCTCCTCAGGAAAGCCCTCCTTGATTGATGGTCTAAAGTAACATCCAATTCACTTTCCACCTCATCCCCTTGTTTTTATTTTTATTTATTTATTTTTGAGATGGAGTCACACTCTGTCACCCAGGCTGGAGTGCAGTGGTGCAATCTCAGCTCACTGCAACCTCCGCCTCCCAGGTTCAAGCAATTCTCCTGTCTTAGCCTCCTGAGTAGCTGGGATTACAGGCATGTGCCACCACACCCGGCTAATTTTTGTATTTTTAGTAGAGTCAAAGTTTCACCATGTTGGCCAGGCTGGTCTCGAACTCCTGACCTAGTGATCCACCCGCCTCAGCCTCCCAAAGTGCTGGGATTACAGGCCTGAGCTATCTCGCCTGGCTCTTCAAACAGCTTCTTTTTATTCTTTCTAAACATCACCTCCTCAGGAAAGCCCACCTTGATTTCGGGTCTAAAGTAACATCCAACTCACTCTCCACCTGATCCCCTTGTTTTTATTTTCTTCATTTTTCTTTTATTTTGCGGGAATGGCCTTTTGAAACAATCTGCTGTATCTACCCATCTACCTCTGTCTTCCCCCACCAGACCTTCCCGTGGAGTCCGGGCGTGCCTCGGTGGTGCCCATCGGTATCCCCAGCACCCCGTATGGGTACATGCTTGATGACCTGATTGAATGAAGCAGTCCTGGGACGTGGAGGCTTTTATCTACTCCATTTCACACAGTGGGAAACTGAGGCTCAAAGACATGGAGCCCTCCCCGCCCCCCCCCACCACTTGGGGGTGCCACAAGGATGTCTGAGGATCGCACGCGTGGCCTAGAATTCTGTGGGAGGAATGCTGCGGTATCAGGCAGTTCCACAAACAGAGGTGAGTTCTGAGTGGGGGTGGGTGCGCCTGTCCATGCTGCCTGGGGGACAATGTGTGCGCGGGGGGAGGGGTGGTAAAAGAGCCCTTGAGAAGGGGGCTGCTAATTTCTCTGGGGGGGCACCCTCTCATTCCCCTTCTGCTCCTCCCACCCCCTCTCCCTCCCCCACCAAGATGCCCAGTCCAGGGGACCCTCGTGGGAGGGGGAGGACTCGGAGTAGGGGGCAGCATGGAATTGAGGGACAGGGATATTCTTCCAAAGACCCACTCACAGCCCCGCAGATATTGCAAATTCCCTATTTCCTGCACTACCCCCTCGCTTCCCCTCCCCTCCCCTCCCCTTCCCCCAGTCCCACGGGATCCTCCAGGCTGGCCCCTGCCACCCCCTCCCGGGTTTCAGGGAGCTTGCGCCGCGGTCCCGCCCACCGGACGCCCGCAGCCAATGGCCGCGCCGCCTGATGAGGTAATGCGCCCCCTCCGCGTCCCCATTGGCCAGGCTGGAGCCCATTCCCTTGTGCCCTGCAAGCGGTGGAGACCGTGCGGGGCGCGGGTGGGGTGCTGGCATCCTCCCACCGGGGCGCAGTCCTCCCAGGGCGGCACCTGGGCACCTGCGTCCCCCCATCCCCCTCACTGGGGGAACCCCCACTTGCCCCTCCCCCTCTTCGGACCCAGGAGGGTCAGGAGCTGGACTTGGGGGACTCCTGTCTCCAGGGACATCCTAATCCTCCTGTAGGAGCAGGAAGGACAAAAGACACCCCCACGCCCCCAGCAGTCAAAGACACTCGCGCATGTATGGAGCGCCCACTGTATGCCAGCCCCCAGACCCACTGGGGATGCAGCGGTGGCAAAATCAGCCCTGGGTCCCTGTCCCCACGTGGCTCCCAGGATAATACGGAAGGGTGACAGGCCATCAGCTACGTCTTCCCCCTCCTAGTCGGTGCCGCGGATGGAAACTGGGCAGGGTAGGCAGAGGCTGAAGGGGACACCCCTGTTAATGATCCTGTCCCCCTGTTTATTTATTGTGGCCTCCAGGAGCCTCTGGGGGCTGTATCTCCTTGTTCACCGCTGTATTCATTTAACAAATATGTCTTTAGTCCCCACTCCCCCTCCACTGCCTCTCGTTTTGTATATTTCTTCCTTTTTCTCCCCTTCTGTCCCCATAACGACTGGATTTTTTTTTTCTTTTTCTGAGACAGGATCTTGCTCTGTTGCCCAGGCTGAGGTGCAGTGGTGCGATCTCAGCTCACTGCAGCCTCAACCTCCTGGGCTCAGGTGATCCTGCCACCGCAGCCTCCCCAGTAGCTGGGACTACAGGTGCATGCCACCACGGCCGGCGCATTTTAAACTTTTTAATAGAAATAAGGTCTGGCTACGTTACCCAGGCTGGTCTCGAACTCCTGGCTTCAAGTGATCCTCCTGCCTTGGCCCGCAAAGTTCAGAATGGGTTTAAACAATAAAAATTTAAAAAATTAAATCTGTGGGTGTTCTTGAAACCGGATACGGTTGTTTTGTCTGCCTGCGTTTCTTTTTTTCTTAACTTTCTTATTGAGGTGAAGCTGCTTTATTCTGGGCTCTGCCTACCAGGCTGGCTGGGGTGCTGGAGTGAGAAGGGGGATCTGAGGAGCAAACCAAGGTTCCAGGGCCAGCCGAGGCCTCCACAGCCCGGCCTGTGATGACGCGGATGTGGTGGATAAAGTCCTGGATGGCCTCAGATCTTGTACCCTGGCCCCCGATGTCTGGGGTGTGCATCTTCTCATTGTCCACGGACGCCAGGACAGCCTGACGGATGGAGGGTATGGGAGTGCAGCTGGCCAGCAGGGTGGCCGTCAGGTTGGTGATGTTCTTATTGGCGACACTCTTGCCGGTGTTCCCCGTAGCCGTTTTAAACACCGCATACACCTGGCCACAGTTGGCCCCAGACACAAGGCCTGGGCCTCCGACTAGTCCTGCGCAGACGTTGCCAACAACACTGCCATAGAGACTGGGCATCATCACGACATCAAACTGCTAGGGCCGCGACACCAGCTACATGGTGGTGTTGTCCACAATCATCTTCTCAAAGGTGATCTGGGGGTAGCCAGCTGCCACCTCCCTGCAGCACTGGAGGAAGAGCCCGTCGCCCAGTTTCATGGTGGCCTTGTGCACGGCCGTCACTCTCCTGAGCCCGCTGATCTGCGCCAGCTTGAAGGCATACTTGGCAACGCGAAGGGACTTGGCCTTGGTGATGACCTCCAGGCTCTCCACCACTCCCGCCACGTTCTCACGCTCCAGGCTGCTGTACTCGCCCTCCGTGTTCTCCCGGACAATGAGGATGTCTATGTCCTTGTGCCGGGTCACCACGCCCGGGAGGCTTTTACATTGGACGACGTTGGCATAGAGGTCCAGGCCGGTGCGAAGGATGCTGTTTCCGGATTTGTGGGATGGTGGCAGGTCATGGGTGATTTCGATGTTGCCCTTCAGGGCCACACGGTTCCGGCGGATTGCCATGATGGCGTTGCAAATGTCCTCTTCATAAGCGTTGGAACCCACGTGCTCCTCTTCAGAGTCCACTGGTACACAGGCGTGCCTGAAAACGGCCTTCACGTGCAGCATGAGCTCCAGCCGGATGCCATCGCCTGGGATCGTGGTCACCGTGTGCCGCCCGCCATACTTAGCTGAGGAAGGAATCGTCCCTTGTGAGGAGATGCTCCTCGAGGGGGCCTCATGGGCGCCTGGAACCTCCCAGGGACGGCAGAGAAGGGCTGGCCTGAGCACCGTCTTCGCAGCGCCACTGGCGGCCGTCGCTACCTTGGGCGCCATGATGGAAAGTGACAACCTCCGCACGTCCCGACACGCAGACACCACTCTCGCGAGAATTCGTGCAGACACCGCTCTCGCGAGACTTCGACTGTGCAAAGTCTGTGGGCGGGCGTGAGGCGGACTCCCCTCCCCTCCCCC